CACACACACACACACACACACACACACACACACACACACACACATGTTGCTTGCTAAAGAGGGGAAATTCTTTCATTGTTGGGCTGGCTGGACTCGAATCTACGCGTCTGGGTGGAATAGGGGCTGTTGTGGTGGAAATTTAAAACACACACTCACGCTTCGACGGCAGATGGGGGTGTGGGCGACAGTACGGTTGCTTATCACTGGCAAGCATGTAACAGAGTTCAAGATAGAGAGGAAGCAAGCAGCACAACCCCATGCCCCTGTACTACTAATCGGTTCACCATTCGCCCTACTCACTTGTTATTTTCCCCCATCCATAATCTCCCGTTACTCGGAAGGCTCAACAGCTTGTCGGATCAATTCATGCCCATTTTAAAATCCCACTTGCCTTTCCATAGAATGATGCCCCCTAGTTGATTTACTTCCTGTCTCCCAGCTTTTGTTGATTTATCCCTCGTCTTTTCACATACCCCTCCCCCGCCCCCCCCCCCTGAACCTTTTCTGCTATTCAGTTGGGCGGCCCAAGCCCCTTTCCTCTCGCCCCTTTTTTCATCGTACACAGCCCCCCCCTATTCACCTACCTCTACCACTAACTTATGGTGCAAGGTAACCTGGACCCAATTCAGGCCCCATTCATCCACATTGACCGCGTGCTTTTGCAGAGTCGAACCGAAAACCAGGTTGCCTGTCGTCAGGTCCCTCTTGACACACCTTACGTAGGAACCCCGTATCACCATTCCCTGCCTTATGTTTGCACCTTCTGTAGTCTACTAGGAGAGTTCTCCAATGCTCTACTCCTCACCCCCTGCCTGGTGCCCTCCCTGCCTTGTCGCGTCCTTTCAATTCGGAGTGTCCATATCGCTCAGAGTACCGCCCGCCTAACCACCTCGGCAGCGTAGAGCGGTCTTTGTCCTCGGTGCCCTCCCTGCCTTGTCGCGTCCTGTTCACTGTCAGGACAGTTCCCAGCCGAAGAATTGCTGCGTCATCATCTTCGGTGACCAGCCATGACAGTTCCCAGCAGAAAAATTGCTGCGTCATCATCTTCGGTGACCAGCCACAGGGAGGGCTCCCTCGTCTCTTCAGCCCGGCATTTCCGGAAGTCCGATACCGTTGGACTGTGCACAAATACATGTGCGGAAGGCCCTCCACCTGGCCACATCCGGAGTGGAGCAGCGCTCATCCGTGTGCTGAGACTTAGAAGCCAGCTATTGGCGCCATTGGGACCGCAAGACGATAGATCAGCCATAGCAGCTCTGACTGCTTCTGATCCAGCAGTGACTGCAACAACGAGCATTGCTCCTGCCATCTGTGGTACGTCCACCTAGCCATCCATGCCTGAGGAATCCAGTCTCTTTTGGCCCACCGATCTCAGAGCTCTTTGGCAATATTCACCTTTGGGAGCAGTGAACAGTAGATGGCCTTTGTGGCTATGAATCCCCTTGACCGGTGACTGCGCCGGCCGTGACCGCAGTCCCTGGGCATCACCGGAGGGTCCCGGTCATGAAGATTAAAAATAAATAAAACATTTTACCGGGCAGTTCTGTTTGTGACGATATTTCCGTTGTTTTTCTAACCGAAACAATAAACTAAACAACTTTTGCCTCATGAAAATTAGTTTTTTCATTTGTTACAAATTGAAAACAAAGTAAAATTCAGGAAACAAAAGTATCCCATTGTAGAGCTCAAAAAGATCTGCAACTTTTTTTTTCTTTTTTTTTTAATTTACAACATTATTTATTTATTTTTTTGAAACAATTTTTGGCCCCCGAAAAACTTCCAGAGATTTGCTGCTGGAGCTTGGCCGGCCACGGCCGGCTTTTGGTCGGCCGCCGATCACGAAAAGGGCCCCAGTCATGACCGGGGGTGATCCATAGCTTTGGGGTGAGCTGCTGCAGTGGGATGGTCTTCTTATTATAGTTCCGTGGGGGGAGATACCACCCCTGTCGGTCGATTACCAGCTCGCGCCGTGCGCTGCTGAGGCAGAATGGGAGAGACTCCTCATCGATCACCCAGTCTGCCGCCTTTGCAGACCGAAAATGTCTCCACCATTGCCGGGTCAATACAGCATGGGCGAGGCAGCCATGCAGACCTGTTCCCACAAGCGGGGGTCCCAGACCATCAACCCCGAGCTCACCACCCATTGTGTGGTTTCCAATAGGTGCCCTACCTTTCCCTTCCCAATCCTGACACCACTCGCGGGCGGAGGTCCCCTTCCTCCTTACCCAGTCCCCCTCCCGCAGGCCACCTTTCTTCAACATATCCACCCAATAGGTCGGGACTGCGCTTCCCAAGTCCCGCAACCGCTGGGAATGTTTAGTCTGCCAAAGAAGGCTGTCCATTATCTCCTCATTCGTCCTGTAGTCACCTTGCTGAGAGTCCCACTGATGTCCGACCTTTCACACCCCCCGTTTTGCCCATTGACACCCAAAGGCATCCGCTTTACCCTGCCACGGAAATGGGTCCCCCCACCTCATAACAGATAAACCTATTGTCGAAGAGGAGCTGATTGAAAACCGCATCTGCTGAGTCCGGCAGTTTCCATTGGATCGGCATCCATAGGGTCAGCGGAGCAGAGCATATTGCACTAGTAAAGCACGATTCGTCACCTCCGGTGGTATTCTCAATATGTAGGCGACGAGCTGTTCCGATGCGCCCCTCCACGGTTCCGCTGCCACCCTCAGGAGCAACCAAAGTGCGTTCCTCAGTTGAATTGCAATCATCTGCAATCTTGGATCCAGAATCCTCCCCCAAGCCCCCCACTCGCCTCAGCTGGGTCAGTTTCAGCCAGACCACCCTGCATATGATCTCCCCCTCCCCCCCCCCCCCCCCCCCCCCCCCCCCCCCCCCCCCCCCCCCCCCCCCCCCCCCCCCCCCACTACCCTGCACCTCCGATTATGTCCTTCCTTTCGAGACTTTGCATGAATGGCCCTCCTTAATTGTTCAAATGTATGTCTACCGGGCCTATGGATGGCTCCTGCATACCATAGGGTGGCGAGCACCGAATTGTTAATCACTGCCCCAGGTCCCCAGGCTAACCTGCAAACTCCAAGCATCCAGCTTAGCCACCGCAGCTGTTGCCAGCACTGCCATCTGGACTGCTCCCCCACCTACTGAGGAGATGTTCACCCCCAAGAAGCCCGCTGCCTCATCCTCCCTGAAGGTGGGAATGTCCCAGCTCTCCTGTGGGGCACCTCGTGGCATGATGGCACAAGATTTACTCCAGTTCACCCATTCGCAGGAATATTGACAACCTTGCATCTTCTACTATACTGCTTATCTATACTTTCTTGGTTTTATGGATGAGACGAGATACACACACACACACACACACACACACACACACACACACACACACACACGGCGTTGCCGACACCAAGAAAATATAAGCCAAAGTTATCAAACAAACCAGGCAAATTGTAGTTGCACTCGATAGCTTTTTCTGTTCCACGAGTGAAACCGAGTGGGCCCGATGGAAGATGCCAGAGTACCCAGCAGGTTTTTCTTTTTGCCCCCCCCCCCCCCCCCCCCCCAAAAAAAAAAGTACCAGCTGTGAAAGAACGTAGTATGGCTTGGTCGGTGCGCTCATGAAGTGTTACAGACCTCTGTTCGAAAAGCTGGCCAGTTTGATGATAATGCCGAAAGGCCTAAACCGTATTTGTTCATATTGTCCGTTGACTCTTCCTGTCCTTGGAATCTGGTCACTTGATCCAGTGAAACCGATATTGTTTCAAATGAGAATCCGAATGGTAAGCGTAGCTCGAGGGGCCCCATGTTCCTCGGCGCTTTGGATTCACTAGGTGACCAGAGTGTCCCGAGACCACATGCCCGGCCGAGCCAAAAAGAAACTAAAATCGTATAAAATAAAAATATTTTTTTGATGGTATTTTTTATTTTAAATTTGGTAAGGAATTTCGACGTGACCCTGAGGCGAAAGCTGTTCAGTTTCTTTTTCTGCATAACTTTTTTTTTTTTTTTTTTTTTTTTTTTTTTTTTTTTTTNTTTTTTTGCTTTGGTGGGACCTTCCCTGGTCCTTGCACGGCCGGGCGGCCTGGCAAAACACAGGGTGATCCAGGGGGCCTGGCTGGCAGCCTAGCTTTCGAATAAAATTCCCCAATATGTTCCTCGAAAAGACAAAAATCTCAAGGCCATTGCCCTATGTCATTTAAAAAAACGGTGGTGGTGGTCTTTCGGTATATCCTGGTCGGTTGCCCTCTAATTGAGCCGCTCCACACTTCTAGGCCTTGAAAAAATGGAGGTGGATGGGTTAAGCTGGGCCGTCAAGTGTCGCATAAGCATACACACAATGTTTGAGCTTTGAACTTTGTTGCGAGGTGTGTCGCAGAAGGAAAATGGTTCCTCACTGAAGGCTGAATTGTGATATCCAGGCCTTTAAATACCGATGGTCGATCACCGATCCTCTTCAGGGCCGGGATTTCGATGCACTGCAGAGGGAGAAATATTGAATTGAAGGATGGTTATCAACTTATTATATGAATATGTTTCAGCTCCTCTG